TCTCTTTTACAAGCTGAGGAGGGTCACCTCTGCATTCATCTTTTTTATTTTTTTTAACATAATTTACTAACTCCTTGGGAATTACACATCATGCGCCCCAATCCCACTCATTTCCCAGTCCCTTCATATCCACCCCTCAGCCCTGTAGCATTCTCCCCAAAAAGAAAAATTTTAAAATATTGATTAAAAAACCAAACAAAATGAACAAACAACAGCAACAACAAAACCCACTTTGCTCTTCTGCCTTTCCTGCTGCTCCAGCACCTCTTCATTCATCTTAGTGGCATCAGAAGCTGTGGTGTGCCACACAGTATACATTTTTATCCTATCAGCTTTACTTGGAAATGTTCATTGCAATGAGTTGTTGGTCAGGATCAAGGCCTCTGGGTTCTGGTACACCATCTTTACTGGACCCTCACCAAAACTCCTCTCAGATCTCCTGCTATTGCCCCGAGTCATGAAGATTGTGTGGCTATAGTTCCCCAGACCAATCCCTTCATGCATTCTAGCAGGTCATAGATAGGGTAGATGTTGGATTGGGACAACTCAAAGCCCTGGATGTGGGCCTGGGTAGTAGCTCTTTTGGTCAGTCCGGGATGCTGGAACTGCCCCCTCAGGTGAGGAGCAGGGCCATCTCTCCAGAGTATGGGGCCAACTCTTCAACGAGGGGCGGGACCAGCTGCAGTGGCCATCAAGAGGCAAGGTTAACTCTCTCAGGGCCAGGGAAATGTGGTGCTGGCTCAGTTCAGCTCTCAGATTTCCACACACATGGTTCCTACTGCCCCCTGTGGTAATATGGGTCATGGAGATCAACACCGACTCCAGCTGCAGCAGGACCACAGACCTACACATGGCCCTCAGCACCAGCTCAGGCCCGTATGTTGTCATGGTCCCAGGTGGCAGCGTAGGCCACCCAGCTCAGCATGGCACCATTGGCAGCATGGCCTCAGACATCAATGTGGCTACAGGTGGCTGCCCAGACTTTGAGCATCTGTCCAGCCTTTGGTGGCAACTCGAGCCACAGACTTCAACACAGACCCTGGCAGTGATTGGGCAATGGACCCAGACATGGCCCTCAGCTGAATCTTGGGCCCAGATGTCATCATGGCCCTGGGTGGCAGTGCAGACCACTTGTTTTTTTTTTCTTAAATTTATGTATACATATATATGACTGTGTGAGTTTATGTGCATTGTCTAAGTGCAGTGCTCATAGAGGTCAGAAGATGGCATTGGATCTCCTGGAGCTTGAGGTGGTTGTGAGCCAACTAATGTGGGTGCTGGGAATTGAACAGTGGACCTCTGGAAGAAAAATTCTGTCTCTCAAGCCCTTGAACATTTTAAAAAAATAACGAATAGATATAGAGCCTTGTCAAGTTTGTTACTGCATTGGTGTATATGATCCAAAGATTTTTGTCTTTAGTTTGTCATTTAGTTTGGATTAAATTGATGAATTGGGAATACTAAATCACCTTTTTATCCTTAAAAAAAACTGCATTCAGTCATAGCCTGTGATTCTTTTTACATAATGATGAATTCTGTTTGCTTTTGTTTTATTAAGGATTTTTGCACCAATAAGTGTGGGACTTTATAAGCTGGCTGTGAAATAAACTCGGGACTGTCCGGCATTGACCAGCAGACCTCTCAACTCTTTTCTGTCTTCTTCATTGTCTCTTCAATCCTCACGCCTCTACCCAGCTACCCAGCTGACTGTCGGCAGACCCAATAAATAAGGATGTTGGTCTGTAGTTTTTCTGCCTGTGTTTCTGAACTATCAGTGTTCAGTTTAGACATCTAGGTGAGCCTTACAAATTAAACTGGGAAGTGCTCTCTCCTCCTGAAGAGATTATATACAATGTAGAGTTATACAGATCTACATAGAATTATATAGAGTTTCTTCCTATACATTTTAATTTAGAACATTTTTTTCATGCACCGGCATGTCTTCTGTTGTGCATATCACCTCTCCAGTCCCAGTACCCCTATACCCTCCCTTTACTCATGTAGGTTTAAAAATAGTAGGATATCCAATGAGAGCACATGGGCCCAGTCATCCTTCTTTGGGAAGGTTTAATTTTGCAGATTTAATTTTCTCAAGTTAGCGAGCCAGATGATCTATTTAACAAGTCCTCAAGGAATTGGCGTGTTTTCTCTAAGTTATCAGATTTATGTGTATATTGCTCTGGAGATATTTTTGTCTGTTTGCCTTTGGGTCACACACACACACACACACACACACACACACACACACACACACA